GAGGGCTGGGGTGGGCCGGATCCGACGTGGCGGACTGCCTGGACACCCTCATAACCTCCCCAAATATGGGCTGGATTTGAGGGGTGCTGGTAGCCCAGGCGTATAGGGATGATTTGGGGGGGTCTCTGGTTGGGAAGGCCTTTTCACTGTCTCTCCTGTCAGGGAACTGTCTAGGCTGTCCGCCCAGCTGGGAGAAAGTGAGGGGTTGAAGATGCTTTTAACTACTGCATATTTGAAACAGTAATATGGATTGCGTGTAACGACATATTTCCCCTAGTGCAGTGAACTGGTTTTCAAATGGTATATTGTTCCTTGTTAGACGAGTTTTTGGCAAATCAATAAATTTGCAATGTTTATGAAGCAGGAAAATTCCCCAAAAAATCATGACCTGGGTTGCTTTGTCATGCTTTAGTCATGGATTTAGTGATTTACTTGAGCGTGATCAACAAACTTAATGACCTGGTCCTATATCTCTTCAGGGATGTTCATATCAACGTTGGTGGTAACAAATCCCTGGCAAAATTCATGCAGGCAGTGTGCTAGGAACCTGCCCTACCATCATGCTTGTGGGGTTCGAAGATGGAGAAATCAATTTTGACTGCTGCTGGAGCAGAAATATTGTGAATGCAAGGCACCCTGGCTGGAATACTTTGCGTGCCATCTTTGACTCTTTTTAAGGGGAGTGCTGACATTGGCGCTTCCACATGGGATTTAGGACACTGCGGTGAGCTGTGTAACTGTCATTATTACAGTTTACCCTTCTTTTGTTGATTATTGACTATTGTTGGATGGTCGGTGGTTGGCATCTTATGTACAATTTATACAGCGGTTATGTTCACTTTCCCCTTGTTGCAATTTCCGTTATCTGCTGATTAGTTGGTTGCTGGCAGGAAGTATAGTAATATGATGATGATAAAAGAAAAGTAAGTATAGTAGCTTATCGGATAACTAAAAAGACCACAACCTATGACTTTGAATCCAGTTTTGTGAATTCGTCAACCTCGTTATCATAAAGGCAGTTTAGCAGTTTCACTGTGCCCTGTGCTCTTCATCTTCTCAGTTCATAGAGTGGGTTTTGGATTTATGCAGTTTGCTTCCATCTATTGTCAATTGTGCTGCACTGCAAATTGATGGTTGTTTTGCTCCTTATCCTATACGCTATTGCCTGGTTTGATATGTCTGGGGTCTTTTATCTGCGCCTTTTTCTATTATTGTCTTGTCGGGCAGCTCATCATAACCTGGGAGATAACATGCAGAAATGCATGTTGTCAAAGTATTGGGTGCCTATTCACAATTTCATATCTTGGTTTAGAGTTACATTCCACAGACCTTTACATCCTTGTCTACTCTGCCCCGCTGTGAATTTACATCACTGTATGTCTGTATGTATTAAGAAGAGAGCGCGTGTGTAGTTTCAGACTTGAGCAGATCCTGCGCAAGCAAATGTGTAATTCATACAGCTCTAAGATTATCTCACATAAATGTCTAAATTCCGGTCGTTGACACGAACAGAGCCACATTGTTCTTCATTATGATGAGCTAGGTAGCTAGCTATGCCGAACTGACAAAACTGAAACAAATGAAACTAGGTTCTAGCTTTAACGAAGCACTAGGGAGAGCGAAAAATGGAAGAGGAAGAAAAAACACACCGAGAATCACTACCTACTGCACACAAAGGAGGGGTAAACCGAGAGGAAATGGCAGAAAGATTATATCCTGATCTTGCCTAGGAGGCCGGAAGCCGGGAAGAGAACAGAAGGATTTCCTTCAGACCCTGCTGTTCTGCGGCATGGGGATGACGCCGTTGAAGAAGTCCCCGAAGTATCCCGGCGGCTCGTAGACGAGCTTGGCGATGATGTCCCTGAGCGTGATGAGGCCGTCCAGGTTGCCCTCCCCGTCCACCACGTAGATCCTCTGCCTCTTCTCCGCGTCCAGCTTCAGGATGATCTCCTTCATGTTGTCCTCCCTGGTGCACGTGATGATGCTCATCTGCTTCTCCCCCGAGCTCTGCCGCGCGCTCGCGATGAACTCCCTCGCCGTCAGCGCCCTGCGTGCATGCATGCGTTCACCGTCTGTTGGCGATTCATGTCCGGAACAAGCTATGCAGCGAGTGAAATTTGTACCTGTAGTGTCCGGCGGACTCGGAGGCCGTGAGGAGGTGCTTGACGTCCTTGATCATGATGCTGCCCACGGGCTTGCCGGCGCCGTCCACCACGGGGATGCCGCCGACGCCGCGCCGCCTCATCTGCCGGAACGCCTTGAGCGCCGGCTCGTCCTCGCAGACCTTGACCAGCCGGCTCGTCTTCATGAGGGGGAGGCCCAGCTCGGCCAGCGTCTTGGTGCCCCAGTCCTCGAACCAGCTCAGCCCCACGCACTCGGCCAGCATGTGCACCACCGCCGCCTGCGTCACCATGTTGCTGATGGTGCCCTCGCCGATGTCCACCACGGGGAGGCTCTTCATCCGGTACTTGGACAGCAGCAGCAGCATGGTGAGGAACGTGTCCGAGCTCTGCAGCGCCAGGAACGGCGCCCACCGGAACGACCCGGAGATGTCCTTCACCTTGGTCTTCCGGAACAGCTCCGACGACGGCAGCGACCCGAACGCCTCCGCCACCGCGCCCTCCGCCTCCGTGGCCGCCTTCAGCTCCCTCGCGCCGCCGCCACCGCCGCCGCTGCCCCCGTCGAGGGTCACCGTGCCGAGCTTGGCGGCCAGCTCGTCGGCGCCCAGCGCGGCGGCCGACGCCGAGGCCTCCGACCGGTGCAGCAGCCAGACGGCGATCCCGGCGAACTCCACGATGCCGATGTAGCGGTCGATCCAGCTCGCGTCCTCGGGCGCCTCCACGTTGCGCACGGGCGCGCCGTTGATCCGGTTCCGGGAGAGGATGTCGACGGCCTCGGCCAGCGTGGCGTCGGAGGGGATGTCCACCAGCTGCGCCCCGAAGGTCTGCGGGAAGGAGGAGACGGCGATGGCGTCGAAGCAGCTGTTGAGCTTGTCGCTCCGGCTCAGCTGCGGCTGGTCCAGGCTGTCCCAGATGTCCTCCACCCGCATCCCGATCTCCGCCTCCGGGCTCCACCGCGCGCTCAGCGGCGTCTCCGCCACCGCCGACGCTGCATCCTCCTCCTCCCGCTGCTCCGGCTTCGTCCGGATCTCCCGCCTCGCCTGCATGGCTCCCCTGTCTCCTCTCCTCTGTCGGAAGCCTCTGCTCCGCTGCCTTGCACACTGCCACTACTCTGCTCTTCTTGGCGACCACCCGTGACCTTGCGTTGCTTGGTCGCTTCCTCGGCCCGACAATGGTGGCGCGAGCGAGCTGCCCGAAGGTTTCGCGCCAGAACCACAGGGGACGCTGACAAGTGGTTCGCCGCCCGGCAGCTGAGCTCTCAGACATGCACCAAAATTCCAGCAAAAAAAAAAACGGAGTTCCCCTCTGGACGACAACGGGCCGAAATTTCTAAGCGGGCTTTGGAACGGGCCTAGTTTGCGAACTGCCGAGCTGGGCCGGGCCGCGTGATGTGCTTTTCTATCTCCTCCCGCAAGTCATGCCGGGGACCCACCGTGGACGCGCTATCTCGCTGGCAGGTGGGGACGAAGCTCGAAGGGCCCGCCTGGCAGCGTCCTACTAAAGCGGTTCGATCCCCTCCGCCCCCTCCTTTTCTCTACAACAACAACTACTAGTTCCCCACCCCCGCCTCCGTCGGCACCTCCCCCAAATCGAAGCGAGTCTCAGGCCTAAAACCGTAGGTAAGCCCCCGGCACAGCCCCGCCTCGCCGCCGCACCGGATCTCGCCGCCGTCGCCGTCGCCGACGCCGACGCCATGGACATGGCAGCGATGAACGACCCGGAGAGGCTCTTCTTCTTCGACCTCGCCTGCAAGACCGCCAAGTCCACCTACGACGAGAACCCACTCGACGCCGACGTAGCGCCTCCCCCCGACCTCCTCCTGCTCCGCTCCGGCGGTTTGTTCCGAGGGGAACGCGGCTGCGGCGACCCCGTCTGATTTGGTTTGATCTGATCTGACGTTTGTTTTGTGCTTCGCAGAACCTGACGCGATGGGGCGGCGCGCTGCTGGAGCTGTCGCAGATGCATAACGGCCCCGAGAGCCTCAAGTGCCTCGAAGGTACGCTGCGCTTGATTGTGTCTATTCTTCGGTGAATTTGGATTGCTTCCGTGTGGAGATTCGTTGGCTTCGATTGCTTCCCACTAGAGAAGTTCCAACTTGGAGTAGATCCTACCTAACAATTGGGCCTTGGCTTTTAGTTTGCTTTGCTAGCATTGTTATAAATGTTATATTGTGTTTAACGTAGTTGTGATTTTATTCCCACTAGTTTTTATTTATATCATGTGCCAGTTAGTTGTATCGAAGGTATACTTGAGAAATAAGTTACTCTGATTTGTTGGGAAATAGGAGATCATTATGGATGGTGGTGTGCTGAACACTGCAGTGTTGGGTTGGTACAATATTCTCAACCACAGAACAGACATTAATACAGTTGGTAGTGCTAGTGAACAACTGAACATATGTGCATTAGGCGTTTGGGGTGTGTTAGCAGCTTGTTTTACCTTTAATGGTTAGATGAGTGCTTGTAGCATGCTTGATTTGTGTGTGGTTTTGTTCCCAGCATGTACAGAACCTGTAGTTGCATTTGTTGTATGATGGAATTTATGCTGCCAAGCACAATGACCTTCCAAAATAATCTGGCAGAGATTGATTGTAGAACTTCAGAGTGGTTGTTTTCATGTACTACTTGCTTGCTTTATTTTGTTATATCATATAGTGCGGTGTTCTGAATTCATCCTGAAAGTAGGATTACATGCATGCCTGTTTAGTTGGAGTGATAATATGCACTTATCTTTCAGAGTTTGCATATAATCACAAAGCTTGTGCGTGAGTGAGCGTTTTATGGTCACCAGTTTCTATTTATACCAAGAAGTTAGGTATACTTGAGAAATAGGTTACTCTGATTTGTGTTGTGGAAGGGGAGCCTTGACGCAGTGATAAAGCTGTTGCCTTGTGACCATGAGGTCACGGGTTCGAGTCCTGGAAACAGCCTCTTGCAGAAATGTAGGGAAAGGCTGCGTACTATAGGCCCAAAGTGGCCCTTGCCCGGATCCTGCGCAAGTGGGAGCTACATGCACCGGGCTGCCCTTTTATGGTGTGCTGAACACTGCAGTATTGGGTTTGTTGGTACGATGTTACCAACCACAGAACAGACACTGAGACAGTAGTGCTAGTGAACATATGCGCATTAGGTGTTTGGAATGTGTTAATAGCTTGTTTGACCTTCTTTAAGATGATTGCTTGTAGCATGCTTAATTGTCTGCAGTTTTGTTCCCAGCATGTATGGAACCTGCAGTTGCATTTGTTGCATGATGGAATGTGTGATGTTCTTTCTAACATATATATGGAGCCTGTAGTTGCATTCGTTATGTTCGTTGATCAGATTGATGGTGATGGTGGTGTTTGTATATTTAGAATAACAGGCAGATTTATGGGGTCTTATCAAGTTATTTATGGGTGTGAGCAGCTTGACTGTTGTACTGTTTCTTTTTGCAGTTGTATTTCCTGTGTAGTAAAAAAAAGGGCGCCTAGACCTGCAATGAAATGTGCCTAGGTGCTAGGCGATAGCAGAACGCCTAGCTCTTAATCATGCTAAGCATGTCATTAGCCGAGATAGGCACTAGGCAGTGGCAAAGTCCACTATTAGTGCCTAGCGTTTTCTCCTTGGTGTTCAACGAAGCAGCACTTTGATTTATGAACACTTTTTGAGGTGGTTTGCTGGTGGACCTATGCATTAGATTCATTTCAAGAATTAACCACATGTCTGATATTAGAGTGGTTACTGAATTCGATTTATACTGCATTGCAAAACCAGGCTGAGACTATGCTGCCAAACCCAATGACCTTTCAATAATCTGGTAGAGATTAATTATATAACTTCAGTATGATTGTTTTCATGTACTATTTGCTTGCTTTATTTTATTATCATAGCGCTGTGTTCTAAATTCATCCTTAAAGTAGGATCACGTATTCACGTGCATGCTTATTTAGTCGGAGTGATAATAGGTACTACTCACACTAGTGTAGTGTCAAAAACGCTCTTATATTATGGGACGGAGGGAGTAATACTTTGGAGTTAGCATACAATTATATAGCTTGTGCGTGAGTGAGTGTTTTGTGTACATTAACTAAATTAACTGTACTCCTTTTGTGTATTAAGTTTATGATTGGGGTCAAAAGTGGGGTATCTGGCTGATCTGGTTTTATTTCTTATAGATGCGGAGTCTAAGCTGGATGAAGCACTGAGAATTGATCCCAACAAGGCTGATGCACTCTGGTGCTTGGGGAATGCCTTGACCTCTCGTGGATTCTTCACTTCGGAAACCGTCCAGGCTAATGAATGCTTTGAAAAAGCAACTGGTTGTTTCCAGAGGGCTGTTGATGTGGTATGTTTTGTCTGCTTCAGTTGTTTGCATGTTCCATGCTGGAGACTGATCCCTGGGCCTGAGATCATATGCTTTAAGTGCAATATACACTCAGCTCCATAAACCAGCCTCTGGAACTGTTTCTTTTAATAAGTTTCTAAGCATATTTAGCTGGAGATTGAGATACGTGCATGTTTCTTGTAGGAACCAGCAAATGAGTTGTACAGGAAGTCATTGGATTTGTCATCAAAGGTACGCTTTGTTCTACCGGCATGTTTGGCTATATCTTTGCTCAGTTATTATGATACCATTATACCATGTCATTCAACTATTCGAGTTGTTTTGGTGCAAGTTTTTGAATCTTCTCCAGGTTCCTTGTTTTATTCGATGCTGTCAACATAATTTAAAAGCTGACAGCACCCCATGCCTATGATAGAGAACTTCTAATAGGTCTTACTCAGATTGGCTCACTAGCAATGCAAGAACTTCTAAGTTATAGGGGAAATTTGAATCCCCGAACTACCCTGTATCTGTAGTATCTTTGTATCTAAATTTACTCTGAACCTTTTATTGGTAGCATATTTGAGTATGCCTGCATATCACTTTGTATTGCCTTTCTGTATAACATTTGTGTGCAATCACCCTCAGGCACCTGAACTGCATATGGAGATCCATAGGCAAATCGCATCTCAAGCCTCACAAGGAGCACCCTCGTCCTCAAATGCAAGGGTATTTTGTTTAACATTGCTCGGCTTACCACTTCTTTGCTTATTACATTTTCTGCCCTTGACATTTGTAAGGAGTCCCTATTTCTTTTTACTGTACATATTTTTGGTTCTGCTCATCTCATTTCCTGTCAGAGTACCCAGAAATCTGCTTTTGAATTGCTCGTACATGTGGATCCTTAAGACATCCTTCTCTCATTGTACTAGTCAATCCAGTAGTGTTAACAAGAGTGAAGATAAATTGTTTCAGTAAGCAGGGCAGTGGATGGCTAAATATATCAGTTATTTTAATCCTTCACACATTTGTCTTATACCCATCCTATTGCTGTCTCTTCTTTTAGTAAAGAGGCAGTGTTAAAACAAATTGTTTCAGTAAACAGGCAGTGGATGACTCAATATTTTTTGATGTAATATTTGTATTTCCCCCTAGCATTTCTAACAAAATATATAGCCCTGTTTTTTTCTTCCATTAATGTGGTACATGCTATGTATGTCTATTCGGCCAGCCATATGACCTCTTGAGTATATTTCCCCCACATACCTCTGGCCTTGATTTTTGACATTATGTCCACATGCCGCATACTCTACTCTGTTCCTCGCTGTACCTAATACGAGAATATATTGTGGTTTGCAGCAATCAAGGAAAAAGAAGAAGGACAATGACTTCTGGTATGATCTGGCTGGATGGGGGATTCTTCTCGTTGGCATCGGTGTTTGGATAGGAGTGGCCAACAGTCAAGCCAAGGAGGCACAGCCACCTCACATGTCACAGCCTAACATGTGATTCAAGACGAGACTTGGAAAAAAGGAAACCTGCAAATGGCATGCCTATGTTAGGACTTAGCAAAAGTTATGGAGAGGAAATGGTGTTTCCATGTTGCGGTTTTTTGTGGAATTTTTCGACATGCGGCGGTCTTGACGAGGTTTGTCTTGTCAAAGGACTTGGGCGCTGGCTTCTTACGTGCTTCTCTTATTATTAGCAGGAACCATTACTGTGTTTTTGTATGCTCTTTTCACAT